GGGAAGGGGGAAGGGGGAAGGGAAGGGGGCAGAGGGAATGGAGAAGGGGAAGGGGAAGGGAAAAGGGGGAAAGGGGGGAAAGGGGGGAAAGGAAGGGGGAAGGGAAGCGAAGGGAGGATTGCAAAAGATAAAAAGCGAGAGTAGACGGCGTGCATTGTCAGATGGAGGAGGGAATGAACGGGAAATCTCAAGCAAGAAGAGAACGAACTGAATTGTCAAGCAAGGTGATAACTTGCTTGAGACATGCATTTGTTCCTTTTTTTTTCCCATTTGCCCACTCGTCTCGAGCATCTCGTGCTGGAGGGTGCCACCATTCTCTAGTACCCGCTGACCTTGCATCCACTCGTTCATAACTTCATATTCCTCTCTCTGTCTGTTTATCTGTCCATCAATCCCATCCATCCCATCCATCCCATCCATCCCATCCATCCCATCTCAACCATCCACCTTCTCCATCCATCTTACCCATCCACCTTCTCCATCCATCCATGCATCCATGCACCCTCCCACCCAAACCCCACACACCTCATTCTTTCATTCATTTCAATGAACTATCATCCCCTTTTTTTCTGTCCCTTAATTGACCTTATCCACTCTAATTTTTTTAATTTTTTTTTTAATCCACTCTAGATAATAAATAACTATGGAATCAGTATGGATAAATGAAAGAAATATATTTCCTTACCTTGCCAATGAAGTAACATCCTTTTGTGAAATGCATCTGCATGCCCGGTCCCATGGACCGTGTTCTGGTCCACGGAACGGCGAGACTCCGGTCATTGATGTCATCATCGGTTGCGCTCTCTGACGACAATATGCTTTCTGTGCTCCCGATCGGGGTTCGGTATCGGCCGCTATTCCAGACCGACGGCTTATGAGACTTGCTTGGTGAGTCCGCCGATCCGCTTTGTTTGAAAAACTGAGGAGCGACGCCATGCACATTGGAAACAATGGATCTGGCAAAGTGCTGCACACATACACACAGACACAAACAAACAAACACACACAATACATAATATTATATATATAATTATTTTTGTTCTTGTTTTCTTTCCGTTTTTTTTTTCGCTTTTGCGCGCTGATATTCATGTGACGATATGTATATATATATGGGAACAAAGAAAATGCGGGAGACTTGTGTGAGCTAATCATCATAAAGTAAATGGGGAAAAGAGAAGAGAAACTGAAAGAGAGGAAAGCTTAGTGACCTAGACACTTTGTTTTTCTTCTCCCACCCCTTTTTTTTTACCCCAAGAAAGAATTATTGTGAGAGGCCAACTATCTCTAGGG